TACCCAATAAAACCACGCATGTTCTTGTATTATTTATTATGTTTGTAAACATCAACTTATGGTCTCCGCAACGAAATAAATTTTTTATTCCAAGCAGAAATTCTTCTCAAGATGAGTCGATAAATAACCAAAAAATGTCTCGCCTTGTCTTGAAATCATTTCGAGATGATAACCTTCAATATCAACTGTAGTCATTCCACTCAATCGAAATTTTTCGGGTTATCAAGAAGCTTCAAGTGTTCAGATCTGATAATTTCAAGTTTCAACACCAAAGTATTGAGTACTGCATCTGTGCGGCATACTGTGAAAAAGAAGTTGATTTCATCTCTTACATATTTGCGGCATAATTCAGTTTAGTGCTGCTGTCGACATCATAACTCTCTATATTATGCCCATCTATGGTATCTCGCAAGCGATAGAACTCATAATGATAATGCTATTGAGAATTTTTGAATCAGAATGCTTAATTTGTCAGTATGTTTAATAATTTAATAGTTGTCTGCATAATTTACAATTGTTTCCATAACAGGAAATTTGATGTTTTATTTGGTTGCTGCTGTCCAAAAGTCAAGTTTCAAGTCTGATAATTTCAATTTTTATGATATATTGCTTTTCTTTCTCTCGAATCACATTAATCATGAACATTTCTATTGCAGAAATTTATCGTTCGGTCAGTAGTCAGTTGCAGTAAATTACTCACTAAATTTAGAATTGGGAAGAAAGACCAAATTACTTTCTGTTGGATGGAATGATTCAGCTGAGTGAACGAATGTTGCGTGCATCGGAATGAGTGTTTATTCTTTGGTGTTTGGTATGAGAAAAGGATTAACGTNTTAGGAAGATGAAACTAATTGCGGTGTTGGAAGCAGCGAAGAATTTCAACATAAAATTCATCGAAAATCATCGCAATTGTCATAATGTTATCCCATTTCAACTTCTAAAAATACGATTGCAAAATTTCGATCGTTCGAAATTGACCAATATTAAACTGAATCTCCTCAAAAAATTCATGTTTAAAACATGAGATCACAATTGGGTACAATACGGGAACTTCAGTGAATAAAAAACTGTACGTTAACAGAATAAACGAATGCATTTCAATCGATATTCACTGATTAAATATTTTCGGTATCGCACCAAACGATCCTTTCCCCGGCTGTGAGTGGATCGGGTGAAATTAATCTGCAAGTGTATCACGCCAACTTGACAAATACAACAGTTCCACGTTGTTAACATAAAACAATTGTCCGTTGATGTTAATCACTTAATCACGTTGATCTGTTCCAATGGAACGCATCCATCCACTAATGATAAAAACTTATCACTCCTCATTTATCTCCTCTGCAACCAATGCGCCTCCAAACACTTTCGAGTCGATTTTATTTGCCGAAGTGTGTGTGTGTGT